CGGCTATATAACGACAATGTGTAAGCTAGGTTTGAAGGTTTTAGAACTTTTTTGTACGTATTTTATGAGCGTTGTTAAAGTTTTCGAGGGCTAAGAATTATGGGCAAGTGTACCAGTCGCCATCATTTTTCCTGCGGAGGATTTGACACCATGTCATTTAGTGTAAGTGTTGTAGTAGAATTAGAACGAGACTGCTATACTTCTACTTATTGGTGGCCAGCCTTTTTGTCTGGGTATGCAAAATGCACAATATTGCTCCCAGAATAGAAAACGTCTGCCTCCTCTTCTCACATTACGATACAGCATGCACCAAAATCGTACCTCTACTTTTTGGTCTCTCTTTCAATGTATTTCGATATATGTACTTTTTCTTATCCTTTTGGTTTCTTTGTAGTACTAGTACGCTGCTGTACTGCTAGTGTATGTTGTAGATTATACAAATGAACCAGTATAAATGATTTTAAAAAGCACCGTAAGTAATGGAAGCAACGCCTTGTAAGGACATCACAGTATTCTAATACAATTGATTGATTTGTTCATGTAAGTAAGTAAGTAAGTAAGTAAGTAAGTAAGTAAGTAAGTAAGTAAGTAAGTAGTGTAAGTATTATTAATTTCAAAAACGAGTGTGAGGGTTTCATCAGGTTTACAAACGCGAGAAACACTTGAAACCACGAGGCCGCAGGCCGAGTGGATTTATTGTTTTCGACCAGAATAAGATGCTCTGGTTGGGTAAGAGCTGCATGAATAATTAATGAGTTTGAGAAGCTTTGTTAAAGTATAGTATAACATTTTAAATAGTGTAAGAATCCAGTATTAGCGTTAGTAACATATTGTGAATTTTTCTGTGTAAAAAAAACAAACAAACAAACAAAACAAAACAAAAATCAAAATCAAAAGAAAGCATTATCGTGACTGTTCAGAGTAATTCATAGTTCTTTTGGAAAAAAACATGCCTCATAAATTGTTCACTAACCCCAGACTTCGTGTTGACACACTTTTTACTTGCAATGTGTTGCAGTGACCCTCCAGTGGTGAAACTAAACTGATGTCCTTCACATGTCGAGTACAAACCAAGTGCAACACCATTCGTGGCTGCTCCTGTTGGCTTCACACATTTTCCACTCAGGGTGTGTTTCAGATATCCATTATCCAACGTAAACTCCAGCCTAGCAAACAGAGTATGTACGATTCTTTTCAACCTTAAAAATACTGATTTGTACATAATGGTTTGTGCAGTCTCAAAATCTTTTCCTGTATTTCTTTCTTGTGTCTTAATGATCTTCATTTTCCATCTCCCTTTCGTTCCTCCTTGTCTTTTTCTTTTCTTTCAATGTTCTTTCATTTCATAGCTCAAACCGTCTTTAGTATAAATCTACTATCGTTCTATCACGAATGCCGTTCTCTGATTGGCTACGCTACTCACTATATATTATGTGTTAGTATCACCCAACTAGTGGACTAATGCAAATCCTGCATTTTGATTGGCTACGCTACTAGGGGACTATTGGTAATAGTCATCAAGAAGCGAAATTGGCGCCATCGAACGTGACGCTTTCTTTCGTTTTATTCCCAAATAAATATTTCTTCAACTTGCATTTGATAACTTTATTATTACCTTTTCTGTCAGACTAGTTGGGTGATACTAAAACAATTAGACCCTTCGCCCTCAAGGGCCACGGGTCTAATTGTTAAATAAAGTGTCCTCGTCAACTATCACGCGATAGAAATCTCGAGCTCATAATCTAATTGTTTAATAGACGTTTTGTAAGAAATGAACGTCCGTTTATACAATTCTTATTACGTAATCTGTAAAGATAAAATCGTCTTCAGCTTGAATTTTTGTAAAATGCTTTGATTCATCATTCTTCGCCAATACATCTGATATTTCCAGGCGAGATCAAATGCGAGTAACTCTGCTTTCAGACGAACTCTTTGCCAACATCTACATCTATATATGTAATCTGCAGACAGATATTACAGCATGCATCTTAATATAAAAGTACAGCACTCTCTATCTTTTCATTTGGACCTACTTAACTGCATGATAATCTACTTACCGACTTTCACTGCATCCAGCGTAGATGACCAACTTGTTTCCTTCAGATACACTAGTTCCACCACCTTGTGGATGGATGCACTTTAGAGAGCCCAAATGGACTAAAGAACCTGGCCCATTTACACTTGTCGTGCCTGAAAAATGATCACATAGACGCATCAGCCGCCATTGCCGTGCGAGCCGGTTTTAGGAAGGTCTTTACTTGGGTATATCTTTCTTGCCCATTTTAATAACAGAGATTTCTTTTCTGTTGTGACATAACTTCGTGAGGATTTTTTTCTGTTTTCGGATATGACAAAATAGTTTTAGTCTGAGATCGCGGAGCAAAGATGGTGGATTTTATAACGTAATGTGACGTTTTGTTAAATAAGTGGGTAACCACCGATCTCTTGTAGAGTAACTTGAAACATATCCAGTAAAGGAAAAACGCTTTCACAGTGTCTTAAAACGACAAAACCCAATAAGCTTCAGAGCTTTCTATCTCCTTGTAACGCTAATTAGGGTTGGCGGGAGAGGGGGG